CGGCACCGCCTCTTCACAAAAGTGCCCCAGCTCCACCCCCTTCGGGATGGGCTCTGCTCAACCAAGCGCGTGCAAAAGCCGAGGCAATGATTCGATTGCATGCCGACATGAAGAGAGCTGCAACAGCCGAGGTGGGTCCATCATCGTCAACGAGCCCCGCTTTTCCACCAGGACCTCCGGCTTTCTTGCCGTTCAGCCCTCCTTCACCGCTTACGCCGTCCGTCTTTTCCTACGCTCCATCTTCGGCACCAGGCACGCCTATGGAAGCATGCCTGCCTATACCTCCGCCTCCTCTTGCTCCTCTACCTCCTCCATCGACCCCGCACCCAGATACCTTGAGGGAGCTTGCGGGCGAGGTTCCAATGCAGATCGAGACGCCGATGACGCCCGTGGAGGCATTCGGTGCCCCTGGGACCCCTATGGACGAGAGTTCCGAGACCCCAATGGAGCCAAGGGTCGGTGGCATTGGAAGTCCGGGGAGCGCTTCTCCTTTGACTCCGCCGGCCGAGATGAGTATGGTGGTTCCAAACCCGCCTATGGACAATTCGGATGTGGGAGACTCTGGCTCCGATATGGATTGATATGCTTGGGTATGGGCCCTGAGGGCCTAAAAGCCGGGCATGAGGTGCTCAGATCTTCGCCGCAATGCACAAAATTGGTAGGAGTAGGTCTGAAAGCCCCGCTGTTTGCAGTAGGAGACTGGCTGTGTGCATTAGGAGGTAGGGTAGGAGCGTTTGAGTGCTTGGTAGGTGACTGTGAGTGCAGCCTGCCTGCCGCGAATGGGTCTGCACACTGTCCCTCTGTGCCCAGGTCTTCATGGAAAGGAAGCAGTGCCTTGGCTTTAGGGTTGACTCTGGGTTTGGTTTTCAGAGGTTGGCTGCGTAGGTGCGTGAAGCTTTTGAGTGTGCGCCGTAGGAGTAGGCTGAAGTTGTTGCGTGTAACTTTGGTAGGACGTGTGCCACGTAGGTCTTGGAGTGTTGTGCGCCGCCTGTTGTTGGTGCGTGGCGTGCTTGCTTGTGAGTTGAAAGCTGAGCCTACGGGCAAGGAAGCAAAAGGGCCAATGATGAAACGTTGGCGTGCCTTGAAGAAGTGGGCCTTGTGTGGGCTTGGGTCCCTGCGGGGGTCCGAGCAAAAGAAGGCCGTGGCACGTTCTGAGGCCCTGCGTATGCTTGCTGGTTTGCCGACCCCGGTTGTTGTGAATTCGGAGTCGGAGGAAGAGTTGATTCCTGATCCGTTGGAAGCTGAACTTGCGGAACCCAGCGGAAGTGAACCCCCTAGGCCCTCCGATGTTCGAAAGAAACCCCGTTTGGAGAATGTTCCCTCAGGTGAACCGGGTGCCCTGAGTTCCCCGGAGGTGGTGAGCGATGCTCTGGATCCTGAGGTTCCGGTCTATTTGACCTCGGAGCGGCTGAAGGCGCACCGAAATAAGGGCCACCAACCTTATCTTAGTTTTAAGAGGTTCCTGTAATGGAAAGGCACAGACAACATAAAATAATTAATTTACGGAAAGAATAGGAAAAAATTAGGAATTGGAAATACGAATTGCCGAAATTAGATACAAAACTGATTTTCAAAAATAGCAAAAAACTATGAAATAAGTAGGAAAAAAATTACAAAACAGAAATACGAAAAAAAATAGGGAAAAAATAGGGAAAAAATAGAGCTTTGGAGCTGGACCAATTAAAAAAAGAGCAGAAGTCCTTGGAAAAATAAGGAAAAATAGGGAAAAAATAGGTCGGGAAATAGGAAAATCATGAAGAAACACATGTGAAACTGTATTCTTTTCCTAAAAACCATGGGAAAATATAGGAAAAATAGGAGAATAAAGGAAACAATAGGAAGAATTAGAGACAACCGTAGGAAAGCCATGGACAACACGTGTGAAACTGTATTTCCACACCCCCAAACCATTGGAAAATACACACAAAAAAGGAAAAAAAACGAGGGAATGTAGGAAGAAAAACAGATGTGAAACTGTATTTTCGACCTATCATGACCTATCTGACCCAGCTAAAAACCATGGAAAAATAGGGAATAAAAAGAATCGATAGGAATAACAGGCGGAGAACATGGAATATCTCTTGGAAAATAGAACAACAGAGACATGGACGAATCTCGACGACGATACAAAGTTGTATTTGTGGTCCCTGTCTGATCTTGCAGGCTGTTCCCGTGCCGGCCTTTCGCTCCGACTTGACCATACACAGAAGGCATGCAGCAGGTAGCAGCTAGCAGCTAGCAGGCAGCGCAAAGGACGCAGGGCCATAGGCCATAGGCAGCTTAGCTAGCAGCTGAAGGATCATAGCAGCAGCAGCAGCAGTAGCAGCAGAGATCCTCCATTAAACATGTGCACGCCCTGCCAGTTCCGCAAGAGAATTGGCCACCTCCTGCGTGATGCGCAGGTTCCGGACCTTAAGAAAGACGACCTCATCTCGATGTTGGGATGGAGTGATGCAGTGACAAGGCGAGTCATCGCTGACATTGGCAACCTGACGCGGAGACATCTGTGAATGTGGCTGGTGTGGCTGTTCACAGGTTCGGCCTTGGATCACGGCCACCATCGAGAAGCCAACTTGCGCGGTGCGATATCGATGGCGATGAAGACGATGAAGACAATGAAGACCCATGAAGGGTGCCACGAAGGTCCATGAAGGCGATGAAGCCGTCAGTTTTTGCAGACTATGAAGGTCCGTGAAGGCAACGGAGCTGTCAGTTTTGAGCCTGAAAAGTGAGCCGCATGGGTTCCTCCCATTGCCCCTCCCCCCCCAAGCCCCGGGCTTCCCGAACCCCACTTTTAGTTATTGGTTTTTGAGGGCACCCCGACCCACAACTTTGGAGAGTGCCAGCCAGCCCTTGCCCCAGCATGCAAGTGAGTGCGCGATGGCCCCCCGCCTGAGGCCCCAGGCCCAAGCTCCATCCTTAACCGAACCGTCCTGTCTCCCTATTGTTTGTTTCCGCGCTCGCTGTTCAAGCCCGTACTGAGTATTGTAGTTCGTAGGTCTGTAGGTAGGTCCATGTGGGCAGGATCATGGTAGCGGGTAGCGGGTAGCCGGGTATAGCTCTCCCTGAATCCCAGAGCAGCCTTTCAGCAGCCGCGACCTGAGCCGATTCAGTAATTGTCCCCAAACCCGACCCATGTCGGCAAGTGTCGTGTATTCAGTGTATTCCAGTGTCTGCAGCCACAACATAAGACATATGACATATGCCATAATCCTTGTGCCGTGCAGGTCTGATGGTGCCATCTTCGACTTGGACTTCTTCATCTGGCGGTTTGGTGCTCAGGCTCTTGGAGTTGTAATCTTGACCAAAAGAGTAAGGCCTTTTAGTTGGGCAGAAGCAGTCACACAGAAGTGTGTTCAACACATTCCTTGTCCTTGCCTGGGCCCAGGCCGATCTACAGTGTCCCTGTGCAACCCGACGCAGGAGGCAAGAAGGATCTGAGTGCGCACCCACCATCCAGAGTGGCCCTGGTGGCCCTAGTGACCCTAGTGAGCCCTAGTGATTAGTGACTAGTGACTAGTGCTCAAGTGCAGCCAATGAAAAACTTAGCCGCTCGACTCTCGACTCTCGAGCATGCCCGCAGGCGCTGACGTTGGGGATGAGCCTTGAGTACCAGGGCCTACGAGGCCACTTTGCGACTCTTGTCAATGTAGGTTATACTGGGTAGTGAAGCAGCCTGTACCATTTCTTGTTTGAATGCGCGCAACAAATCGGAGTGGCAGCGCGGGATTTGACTGTTCAGCCGATCTTTGTTTGCAAGCAGGTGCCATCGATCTGAGAGGACGGGCAGCCCGACAGGGCGCTGAATCTCCATCTAGCTAGAAGCTAGCAGCTAGCAGCCATCACATGCCATCACCTCAACATTTTGCACTGGGCACTGTTGTATACTGTTGTGTAGAGTCAAAGCCCTGGAACCTTAAACGCAAGACCCCTTCCCCCCTCCCCCGAAGACTTCAAGTCTGAGTGCCGATGCCCCTGGCCCTAAATATCGGTTTGCGAGTGCGTGCGTTGCGCAGCTCAGCTGAAGGCTGAAGCTGTGTGGCAGTGCTGCTCAGTCTGATTCTAGCTGATTCTATGCTGCTCAGTCTGATTCTAACTGATTCTAACTCTAAGTCTAACTCTAAGTCTAACTCAAACACAGATTTTTACGTAGCAGCAGCGCAGCGACTGCCAGCTTTGCTGACCTCGGCACAGGCTGTGTGCGATCACAGGTTTGCTGGTTTGCCAAACAAGTGTGTTTCAGTGCGATTCCAAATTCACACTCTGCTCATATTGGCCCTGTAATCTTATGAGCCACAGTGATGTTGCGCTGTTCCACCGGGAGGGCGGGGAGGGGGAGGGAGTGGGGGAGGGGGGGGGGGGGGGGGGGGGGGGGGGGAGGGGGGGGAGTGGGGAAGGGCGGGGGCGATGCCCCATGTCTGCCTTCTTTTCTTGAAAACGTCGTCATGTAAATTTGCATGACGACTTTGACACGACGAGGGGGGGTGGGTCGGTCTCGTTGTGTTTCTAGGTCTGGGTGTGAGGCCATATGTGACATAGTGTTACGGGGTTCAATTTTGCAGGATTTCATGGCTTTAGGGCCTTAGGGGCTGAGAGGCTGAGAGCGTTTAGGCTTTGTAGGCACAGGGGTCGCAGTGGCATTGTTTCGTCACACAGGCTGTCACAGGTTGCTGAAAAAGATGAACGTTGATGCTGCGGATCAAATGGGAAGCACCGCCAGTTTGAGGGTCTAGTTGAGTAGCTGTTGTAGCACACAACCACCTGCAGCAGTAGGGGACTAGTTGAGTAGCCGTTGTAGCACACAACCACCTGCAGCAGTAGGGGACCAGCTGTGGGGCATTTTGCAATGGCATAGGCCCATAGGCATAGGCATAGCCCTGGCATAGCTGCGAGGCACATCCTGCGCCCAGTGGACAAATCTTGGGAGCTGCTCTGAAACATTCATCGCTGGCACAACAGTAAACATTGAACGGTCGCTGCTGTCGGGCGCACTGTGCAAAATGGGTGCCCTCGACGATGCCCACCTCATGACGAAGTGGGCAGAGGTGGCCATGGAGGAGGTGTTGTCTTCTCAGAAGAGTAGCGAAGTTGACGAATTTTTCGAAGCAGATGCAATGCGCTCTTTGACACCAGACAAGAATGAGTGTCGCTGTGAGGAAGATGTAGATTCAGAGCAGGACATGTCTGTCACTGCAAAGCTTGGTGAGTGGGACACAGAGAGCTGTGCAGACCGGGTGTTGTTGTGCACTGATGACGCAGGGTGTGCAACCAGTGTTCGTCCGCTGTGGTGGGTGACCCTTCTTCGACAGCACCTTCCAATACCCGACCCTTCCGATAAGTCCAGGCTGCCAGTCAAGGTCCTCTCTGGGTGTTCTGGCATGCTCTCCGAGGCGAAGGTTTTCGAGGCCAGTGGTTGGGTTTAAGTCTGACAATCCAAGTGCAGCTGGCGCAGATAGACCCTAGGCCCTAGGCCAGATATCAGCCCGAAGTGGCAAAGGGATTGTATGTTTCTAGAAAGCTTTTGACTGTAGACTTCTTCTGCCGAGTGACTGCGTGTCCGAAAGCTGGAGCCTGAAGAATAGTTTAGTTTACTGGCTGTGTCAAGTCTCAGGTGCTGGCAGATTTCATGTCTCATGCAGCCTGAATGTCACAAATCATCCCAGTGGCCCTAGTCGCACACCTAAGCCAGTGCATTTACATGAGAACAACTGCTTCTTGCAGATGCCAGGTGCTTGGAATCCCCTTCGAGTTGCACAGCGTCTCAGACCCAGACGTGCATTGCCAATCGGTGATGCAAGCAAACTTTGCCCCACCCCACATGTACAAGGACTTGAAAGCACAGATGCAAGATGGCGGGTGTCTTCTCCACCCACACGTGACCACATGTCGCCCAGAGGGGAGCTTTGGGAAGTGCGATTTCTTCCACGCGGGCTCTCCCTGTCCACCTTTCTCGGTGTATCGTGCCAAGCGACACAGTAGTGGTAGCGTGGCTGGCCACAAAGATTTTGACGTTAGTCTGCAGCTCCTACAGTGGCTGCAAGCTTTTGAACCGGAGGCAGGATGCTTGGAGCAGGTCTGCGGATTCGGGCTGGCAGAGGACGCCTCCGACGACAGTTCCCCGCTGGAGAGGCACCCAGTTAGTCAGTCGGCTTGCCTTGGATTTTTCCTTCTTCTTGATGTTCTGACTCGACACTTATCACTGGTCCCTGGTAACCCTGGTACTGCTGAGTGTAGTCTTGAGTGTTGAATATTGCTGCTTCCGTCTTTGCTTCTTTGCTTCAAGGCCTGCAGGGTCAGGGGTTTGGTCATTTTAATTGCTTCAGTTTGGATTAGATGCGTCGTGGTTCGAATGTGGAGTGGACTCTGCAAAATCTGCTCTGGTGACTATGACTATGACTATGACTGCCTGACTATGCCTATGCCACAGCCCAGACACTGACAATTCCACGCTTTCCCCATAAAGGGTAAAGCTGGACCATTGAAAAAAAACAGCTTTTGCAGGTTCATTGATGCCTGCCACAGTGCAGAGTGGCTCCTCGGGGGCTATCACATCTTCACCGTTGCGATGAACCTGACCATGTGGGTCAGATTAGACAGGCCAAGGACTGATGTCTGTTGATGTTCTATCCGTGCTCAGTAATTCTAATCTCTTAGAGCTTGGAGGCCTTGGGGTTATAGGGTTTAGGGCTTAAGGTTTTTTGGGGTTTCGGGAATCTGGAATATGTGTGAGATATATCCCCCAAAGGTTTGAGGGATTTTGTGCTGTAAGGACTGTTTGATTTGAGATGAGTTTTCTCCAATGGGTTGAAATCTCTCTGGGATTTGAGATTTACTAAGCCAGGACCCCCGAAAGAGAGCTAGCGACTCTGACTAGCAGCAAGTGATGTGTGCTTGTGAGGGGTCCACTGTTTGCTGGCACACTCTGCGCAGTGCATTCTTCTGCTGGCCCGGATGGCTTCTGAATGTAAAAGTCGCAAGTCGCAAGTCTAGAACACATCGGGTCGTACACATTAGCCAACAGCCAATCAGGGTCCAGACTGCAGACTCTAGATTTTCTTGACGATAAAAGCTTGTTGTAGAATTTGTAGAAAATGGGTCTGGCCTGCACTTTGGTGCGCCTGCTGGAGCTGATGGAAGTGCGATTCACTCATAACATGCAACAATTTCAATTCCTGATTCATGGAGTCGTGGTTCGGCTTTGTTTTACCCACAAGCCGACATCGTCCAGTGCCGCCACTTTCGATTGAGCCTGCAGTGAGCAGAAGGGCTGCTGGTGACTCTGCTTCTGCGAGTGGGGCAGGAGGCACCCGTTCTGCAGGTCGTCCTTTGGGTAGCAAGATTTTGAACGAGTATCTCAGAGAACATCTCAGCAGACCGGAGCCCGATCCAAATCCAACCTGTCGTCCTCAGCACGCTCGTGATGTCAGTGATGCCCTGCTTGAGGGTTCAGTGCCTAGACTTTGCGGTGGCGAGGAAAGGAAGCAGGATTCATTGCCTGCCTTGTTGTGTGCTGCAGCAGCTCCATGGCTGCAGAGCTTGCTGGCTTCTTTGTTGGTCAAGCATCGATGCGAGGAAAACATTACACCTGGCCCAGTCAAGAATGAAGACTCACATGTTGCTTTGGTTCCTGCTGTCGAGGGCGATGTGGATGCAGCATCGATGCAAGCCGACGCAGATGTTGATGCAGGGGCAGCGCTGGCAGTGTTGCGGGACTCCTTTGAGAGGGAGGGCAACCACCTCAAGACAATGACTGCGCAAGCTGCTGATTTGGGTATGGTTCGAAAGACGCTTATGAAACACAAACACGCGATCGCTTCTTGTTTGCTGCAAACAAGTTCAATGCTGTGGACGAGTGCCTTGCAGCGGGTCAAAGGTTTGATAGAATCGAAGCACCTGCGAGCCATCGCTCTGATTAAAAAACGTGTCTACGATGAGACACCTTTGCGAATGCGGATTCGTGTCCAGGATGAAAAAAAAATGAAACCCATCACACTATTGCGAAGACTTTGCAGACACGGTTTTCGCTTGGGGTGCTTTGCCAGCACATTGGTTCTGGCGTGCCGTTCTTCATTCATGGCCTTGTAGCTACACCTTTGCAGCTTTTGCGCAAGACAAAGGCACAGGACCTGTTCCAGGCACAGCAGGAGATTGAGGCTTCAGTGGCTAGCCTGAGCGATGTTGAGAAGCTGTTTGGATCGACAGTGCAGCTGGCCACAACGGACCGCTACTCAGCCAACATCTGTGCTGAACAGGCACTGGCAAGCCTGAACTTGAATCAGCAAACTTTCCATTTGCCGTGCGATGTACACCGTTTGAGCACGTGCAAGACATGGCAGATGGGCGTTGTCTCCAGCCATGTTAGTGGTTTGGTTGCATTGGCCCTCGTTCTGCGAGAGGCTGGTGCCTTAAAGGAACTTCGATCCTGTATGTTCAAGGTCGTGACGAAAAGGTTGCTGATCAAGTTCGAGGAGCCTCCCGGTGGCCAGATTGCAGAACACCGTGAGGCAGTTGCCCGGCTGTTTCTGTCTTCCAAGATGACAAGAACAGAGGACAGACAAAGCATTTTGCGTGCTCAACAGTACAAGATTTTAATGTATTTTCTCAACGGCGATTGGGAAAACGAGTCGAGGATCGAGTTCTATTCCCGGGAGGTCTGCGACAGACAAGATGTCCTACGTCTTTTTAAGCGCTGGGTCATTCCGGCTCTCCTTCCATCTGGGGTCATGCTCTTTCCGCGCCACAGGTGGCACGGCGGAGAAGTCTCCGTCGACCAAGCAGGACTTTTCTTTGCTTGCCACAACGTGGGCGGCCAAGCCTTGCAGCTGTATTTGTCCACAAAAGGAATACCCAGAGGCCAAGTGGTCCAGTGTGCTGCAGAGGCTGAAGCAGTTTCTGTCGAAGATGTGGATGCGGCTGCACCTTTCGCTGGCTTCGAGCGCCCGGAAGCTGAGCACTTGGATCCTGGAGTTCTGCATTCTGTCGATGAATGTGCCACTGAGCATCCAGCGCCTTCGCAAGCTGCAGAAGCTGAGGGAACAGAAGATGCCCAGAACGTGTCTCAGCAAATCAGATTGGCTTCTGCTGCGCTGCTGTTGCTGTTGCTGCTGCTGTTGCTTTCAAGAAGTCCGTAAGGCTAATAGTTTAGTAACTTTAGTAGTTTCACTATATCATTAAGTCACTATGTCACTAGGACGACAATGAACAGACATGTTTTTTTTGCAATAGCTTTGTTTCTTCTGTTGTTGTCAACTATTTGCACCAAGACGAGCAACGCCTCTGTGGATTGGTCGGCAGTGAACAAGTCCATGAAGAGGATGTGTCAGAACTGGTTGGATGGCAGACCAGGCCCCTGCTTGATTCTAATGCGGCTAGCCATGAACTCCTCAGTGCGGCTCATGCAGCGGTTTCTAAAAATTGCTGGTCTTTCTTGGGAGCGCCGACAACAACTGCTTGCTTCCCGAGGGCAGCCACGCTGCTACAGAGTCACAGAAGCTTATGCTGGAAAGGATGTGGAGTTTGCTTTCTCTGCTCTTGAAGAGCAGTTCCATGAACCGATCAAAGCGTTGGGCTTGTCAGCCAGGAATAATGCATTCCAAGTCCTAGCTTTTCGCCTTCTGGCAAGAATGGCTGGCGCATTGCACTTGCTACTTCGACTTCCCAGAGCTGGGTTCCCATATCGTCTTTTCTCTTTGCTCCAGGCCAGTGACCCCGAACAGGCAGCTGAAGACATGCTCAAGCTGCCTGATTGTCTCTTTGATCCGGGCTCCAAGAAGTTTATATCTGAAAACGGCTCCAAGCACAAACTCTCTGACACCTTGACATTGCTGCAACTGGAAGCTCTTGCTGTCATGGCTGAGTGGATGTTGTCTCGATTGAGACCCGCCATGCTGCTGCCAGAAGGCTTCTCATGTCCAGGAGTCAAACATGGTCCTTTGCTTTCACAGACATCGCAGCCGAACATCTCTGCCGTCAGCATCGAAAGGCGGCCGCGGATGACGACTTGGGCAAGTGCCAGCGCTGCAAACCTCGCAAGCAACCAGGTTTTAAACGCGGCAGGAAGAATCCGAAAAAGCCACCGTCTGGCAAGAAGTTTGGAAGAAAGCAACATGGTCAAAGAGAGCGACGAGGTGGTGGAGCACAGCGTGCATTCTTTCATGACAGACTACAACAGGCAGGACCAGATGAATGGAAAGACCGGGCATCGTTGTTTAGCAAAGTCCATGATGATTTTCGAGCGCTTCCGGAGAGAGATCTCCAATGGTACAAAGAATTGGGCCAGGCTGCCACAATATCACACAGGCATGGAGGCCGAGGTTTTGTGCCTAGAAGGGGCACCCGCAACCGAAGGATGCCCTCAGCTATCTCCATGTTTGCACCATCCTCTGCGTTGGTCCCACTTTCTCATCATGAGTATGAAGCAGGTCGCCAGATCGCCCTGGCACAGAGGCGTGCTTCAAATGCTAAACGCCTTGAGCTGGCAAAGGAGCGTGCGGAGACTTTGGAACTCCGTGAGTACCAAAAGAACAATAACATGGACACCCATGGCCTCACAGATTCGGCCTTGGACGAAGCTGCTGGAGTTGCTCTGGAACCAGGGCCGCTCTTGGTGGGCAAGTGGGGTCCAAAGCTTGTGCCAATGTGCAAGGCCCTTTTGCGCAATGAACTTCTTGTTTTTGTGTAGCTGCGTAGCGCACATCGGGTTGTACATTCCTCAGGTTGCCTTAGGTCTTGGAGAGGTTTAAACTAGAGCAACTAGAGTCTAAACTTTGTAAGATTTTAACAGGCCAGTAGGCACTGTAGCTAAGGCCCTAGGGCCCCCAAAATTTCGCAAAGTCCTAAAGTCCTAAAGTCCCAAATCTGATGTCAGAGATCGGTCCATTAAATAGGTGTTTCGGTGTTTCGGACTCATTCCACTTGCGTCTGAGGCTGTGTTTGAGGCGGATTTATCTGCTTCTGGAGGCCGTCAGTTTCGACTCAGCTCCCGTTTGGAGTCCAGTTGGCAGCAAGGGACCGTTCTGAAGCTAGAATCTGAGTTGCCTCCTGGCTTCAAGGGCACGGAACCTCGGACTCTGTGCTATAAGCATGGTATGTGTGTTTGTGGCGCAGCTTCGGAACGTTCGGATGACATGGACGACTGCGTGCTTTTGCATAGCAAGATGGTGGCCTTGCTCCGACCATATATCGCCCTGAAGAAGAAACCCAAAAGAAAAGAAGGAGACAGCAATGAGGCAGCTCCGGACCCTCGTGCAGCAGAAAGGTCAAGGGAAGCTCGCAAGCCACCCACAAGAAAGCAACTGGATAAATCATTCCTGGTTGTCTGCTTTCATTTGCCCTCTGAACAGCAGAGAAGGGTGAGAAAGGCTGAGTCAGACAGTGCTGGTGTTGCCGGGCCCTTCAAGTCTTGGTGGGCTGTCAGTGTACCTGAGGATGAGATTTGTGAAGAGCACTGGTATCACATTAGCTATTGCAATCTGCAAACAATGATGTTTTCTTTCTTGCGCCTGGAGCGTGTCAGCAGTGAGCCGACTCTGGACGTTGTGGGCAACACTGTCATTCGACTCAAAGTTGCCGATGAGCTATCGGTCAAGACTTCAGTCCAGGCTTTCAGTGAATTCAATTTGAAATTGCAGTGGCATGTGTCTTGGTATGCCATCGACTCCACCACCAAACCGATCGAAACGACCTATGTCACTCCAAATACTGTGGATGTTCAGTTGCTACCAGAGTCTCAGATTCCGACCATGTTTGTCTGGCAGGGCAGTGCTGATGAAAAAAGACTGCGAAAGGAGAAGCTGAGACTGGGGCGAAAGAGAAAGCAGACTGGTGAACCTGGCGGACGCCGGAGTGGTCGGCAAGGACAGGTGCCTCTGGAGAATGACGATGCTGGCACTGGCAGCCAGGATGATGGAGCTCTTGGAGATGAGCTGGAAGGCAGGGCGGACAACTTTCAAGAGGAAGGAGATCGAGATGAGAGTGTGGACTCAGATAATGGCTGTGGGGTCGGCTCCTTAGGCGGCGATGTAGAAGATGAGGGGCTCGACAATGTCCTAAGGTTTGCGTCCTTCTTTGCAAGCTGTGGCCCAGAGGGCTCCTCCGGCAATGTGCCTGAAGCAGAGCAAAATTCTGCAGAAGGCGCCACAGGCAGTGCTGAGGCGCTGCCTTCAGCTGCTGCATCCTCTTCGTTGCCCAGGCCCATGGCTTCTGAACCACCGTCCGAACCAGCCGCTGCGTCGACAGACACTCCTTCGGCCAAGGTGAAAGCCAAGGCTAAGGGCAAGAAGAAGGAGGTGAAAGAAGATAGTATCGTGATAGAGCACAATGGTGTGTTTTATGGGACATTGCGGCACAATCCGAAATCAAAAACCATCACCGCGTTTTGCGCAACGGAGGGTCATGGCAAGCATGGAAGCTGCAGAAAGGAGCGCACAGCAGATCCCACTGACAGGGGTCGTGCTCAAGGCAAATCCGGTAGGCCAATTGGTTTCCTGACGTACTGGTTGCTGAATGGCCACAAGCATGCAGATGCTGGATCTCATGTGCACGCCTTGCAGTCTGCTTCGCTGGAGGAGAGACAGCGTGCGCGAGAGATTTTCAACTCACTACAGGGAGCCCGTGCTTTCAGTAAGGATGCAGAACGAAAACAGGATGACGGTGAACCGGACGAGCCTGTCATCAGCTGCTAAGTGAGCTTCGTTGCCCGACGGTGGAAAAAGAACGCTGTGCCTTCTGCCTGGCAGATGTTTCCAGTAGGTCGATAGTTGACTTAGTAGATGCAAGACCCATCCCGTCTCTTGGTGCCCGTCCCATGCCCGCGCTCGCGGCACAAGGCCTGCAGTTGTTTGTTTCGGGTTCCGTGGGTATCGGTTTTACTGGGTTTGGGGCTTGGGGTTCTCAGGCTGCGCCGCGAGGCGCAAGGCCTGCAGCAAATCACCATAAGGGTTCAGAGTTTAGGCCTTAGGTTTAAGGTTTAGGTTTTGGGTTCTAGGAGGGTCGATTTAGTGTTAAACCTCTCCCCTAGATCCTAAACCCTAAGCCCTAAACCTGGTGGATTTCCAAAAAGCCTGCAGTTTCCTCGAGCATGGCCTGCTCTCATCTGCCACTACCAATGGTCAATGGTGTTCACACAAGTGCTCTGTGATATTGTAAGTTTACGGGTTGCTTGTGGCTTCTGGGGAGTATGCAGTGAAGGGTGGCGAGAGAGAGCTGGGGAGTATGCAGTGAAGGGTGGCGAGAGAGAGGGGGTATGCATCCACTTTCCCGTCCAGTAGTCTCTACAACAGCAGCCATGTTATGGCATTCTGCGCAGGATCTTTATCTGCTTCATGCGCAAAAACAGATACTCAAAGGAGCAGGCCATGCAGTGGAAAGAGCTGATTCAGGACTGATGTCTGTGGAGCACGTAGGGTTGAGTCAGTACTCAGTACATATTACCGTTTTGGTGATGCTGTAGCCCCGAGGCATACACAGTGGCATTGTTCAAGCATTGTTGCAGGACATTGTCGCGAAGCAGAAAGATGTTGGCCCTCGGAGCCTCAGCGATTTCATGGAGGAAGCTGGCAGCGACCTGGTGCACTCGTGGCAGGAGCTTCTTCAGGCACGGCTTGGGCTGAATTGAAATGACCTGTGTGTCTGTGTGTGCATGTGCAAGCTTGTCCTCTGGCTGCTGGCCACGAAAACCTGGTGTGCAGAAGTCAAGTGAGTCAAGTCGTACACAGTACTTTGTTTGGCCTATCTTGCCTAATTATGTTCCTATGCCATATGCTTTTGTCTATTCTATTCGCTTGCAATCGCGCTGTCTGTTTCCGGGAACTTAGGCCTGTGTCCCTTAGAAATGTCGATGCCCGAGCCAAGTTCCGGAAGAGCTCCGGAAGCCATTCGTATTTTTTCCCTATTTGCTGGCAAAGCTGTTCCGGCTTTCCTATTTTGCGGTGTATTTTTTTGCTAATTTTCAGAGCCTTTGTTTTCTATTTTTTCCGTATTTGTCGGCACCCCTTGCTTGTGGCGAGCCTATTTTTTTGCTATCTATTCCCTATAGTTTCCTGCCCAAGAATTTGCATTTTTTTGCTATTTTTTTCCTATTCTTCTTCTATATTTACAAGAAAAATAACGAAAAATATAGGAAATGAGGTAAAATTACGAAAAAAATAGGAAACGTTAGGGTTTTCCTATTGTTTTTTGATAAATTTTTCGTAATCCTACCTATTTTCCTATATTTTTCCTATATTTTTCCTATTTTTCTCTATTTTTTGTATATTTTCCCTTTTTTCTCTAAAAAAATAATTAAAAATATAGAATTCTACCTAATTTCCTATATTTTTCAATTTTTTCATGTTTTTCTTTATTTTTCCTACTTTTTCCTATTTTTTTTCCTATTTTTTCCTATTTTTCCTATTTTTTTCCTATTTTTTCCTTATTTTTTCCATATTTTTCCATATTTTTTCCTAATTTTTTCCTATTTTTCCTATTTTTTTCTTATTTTTATTCTATATTTAAAAGAAAAATTAGCACAAAAATAGTAAAAAATTAGAACCTTATAGGAGCCTGTAGGAAACCCTAAGAAAACGAGCGGAATCCTCCATTTTCTTGAAAATTACATATTTTTCCTTATTTTTTCCTAATTTTTGTGTATGTTTGTATTCTTCCTCATGAAAAATAGGAAAAAATTAGCAAAAAAATGCAACTTCTTGGGCAGGAAATTATAGGGAATAAATAGGAAAATAATAGGCTCGCCACAAGCAAGGGGTGCCGACAAATACGGAAAAAATAGAAAACCAAGGCTCTGAAAATTAGCAAAAAAATACACCGCAAAATAGGAAAGCCGGAACAGTTTTGCCAGCAAATAGGGAAAAAATACGAATGGCTTCCGGAGCTCTTCCGGAACTTGGCTCGGGCATCGACATTTCTAAGGGACACAGGCCCTGAGTTCCCGCAAACGAACAGCAGAGTAGGAACATAGTTTGGCAAGAACATCACTGCTTGTGTGGGAAGGTTATGTGCTTGCTTCCAAATACGGCAAGCAGTATGTCATGTTCTCACGTTTGACATCAGCTTCTAGATGGGAAAGAACAGTGACAAGCATTCGGCAAGGCTCCAAAGGGTTTCTCGAATCATTATCGTGGAAGATGGGCTAGCCGCTAGCCAGTCCCTGGACCAGGGATGGATGATGTCTAGAATCTAGTTTCTACATTCTACATCTTAAAGGTTTGAAACAGAGTGTTTTGCAAAAATGGGACAGGATGGGCACAAAACATGAGATGGTGTTGCTTTGCTAAAAATCTAATCTGCAAATCCTGAAGTTTCCAAATCAACAACTTTCATTCTATGGATTCCATTGTTCTTCTAGTCTGGCGTGTTTGTGGAACCACGCAACGCAGCAAGCCGCGCCAGACACCAGCGCAATGATGTGTTCGGAGTGTCTGCTCCCTGGCTGTCCTTCCTGGCTCTGCGGGTTTCAGGCCTAGCTGCTAGGCCTAGCTGCTACGGTGGATGGACGAAATCTTGCACCACTTGTACATGCGTACTTCAAACGATTGAGGCATCAAGCCCCGCGCCCCCTGCTTAACATTGGCGGCGAAGACTACTTGAGCGGTGCAAGATTTCGACCATTGGAGCAAATCCGGCTGCTAGCTTTTCGCAGCCAATGTTAAAAAGGGGGCACGGGGAACACAAAAAGACGTGTCTGAAAAGTGGTGCAAGATTTTGTCCATCCACAGTAGCTGAGCGATGTTTTTTCTTTTTTGTTATCCATGTTGTGCTGGCGCAGGAGAAAGACAAGAAGAAGCGCTGCACTTCCCAGGTTGTGCACCCCCAGTGGCGGGTCCACAGTGACAAGCTGCGCAACGCCCTGCAGGTCAGCAGGGCCTGGTGTGGGTGGACGGGGCGGCCTGAGTTCAGGCAAACCAGCGCTCAGCTCACGGATCGAGTGAAGGACTTGCTCGACGTCGCTGTGGCGTGGCGCCTGCGCAAGCAAGGCTTGCCTTTGTGGGTCGGCCCAGAAGCCCAGGAGTGCCTCAAGGACTTCTTTGTCGACGTGTCGCAGTCTGTGGGGCGGACTCCGTGGGGCAAGTGCGGTGACAACGTGTTGTGCTTTACAAAGAGCACCGTGCTGTACTCTTTCCAGAGGGGCTCGCTGGTGCACCCTCTGGAGATGGCAAGGATGCTTGGATGGCCTGACAACTGGGAGGCACCAGCAGGGGTTCCGCTGAACAAGATCAAGGAGATGCTCGGGAACTCTGTGGCCTTGCCGAGTTTGGGTAGCGTCGTTTGGGCGTGGCGACTTGTGCAAAGCAGGCGAATGTGACTGGCAAGGTCAGTTGTTCCGTCCCGGAATCCAGCAGTGAGCTGGAACAGTAGTGCTTGTTTTTTCTTGCTCGCTGCGAGCTTCGGTACCTTCTGGTAGAGCACATGTCAAAGACGCATCTTAGAGAAGTTGTGTTCGGACAGATTGCAAGCTGCAAGGCTCAATGGAGTCTGCCACCGCCAGATTCTAAGCTACGTCCGATTCTAGGATTCTAGGATTCTAGGTCCTAGGTCCGGTCTGTAGGTCCTGGGGCCATTCTAGGGATTCTAGGGGCAGACCTCTCACTGAGCCAGAGTTTTTGGGTCCAGTTACCATCCTGGTTCCTCTGCGATTTGGTCGCAGAGGGCCGGGACGTAGAAACCCTGTGGTGGGTTGCTCGGTGGTATGGCTGGCGGGGCCTGTTGGGGCAGGGAGTACCTGAAGTCATTAAGCTTCTCTTGTGCTGGTCATCCTACAATCTACAATCGTAGATCCTCAGCTGTTGTTTTGCTAGAATCTGCTAGACTGCTAGACTTCGCGAAACAGCGACATAGTTCCTTCCAGAAATTTCAGTATATGCTTGTGCATTCGTGCAGCAGAGAGCTCAGCCAGCCAGTTGCCGTCATCTCTTAGTTACACAGGTCACAGTCAACAGGCACTGTGCACAGACAGACCTTGAATGCCACGACTTCTGCAGACACAGCTCACAGGTCTCGGTGTGAGCAGAAAGAGTGTACGTGTTTTGAGTCTGGTGTACTGTACGTACAGTCTACATGTGAGATCAGACATGCCAAGCACCCTGCAGGGGTCTAGTCCGAGTATCGAGTCTGGGGATGAGCAAGTCAGTCTGCGCAGACTCCTGCTGTTGCATGTTGTGGCTCGATGTACCAGTGCAGTACAGTTTGTCTGGGTGTGTGCCTGGGCCTCAGGCATCCTCTGATTGCAGCGTCATGGGAAAGAAGGCTAAGCAGGCCTGCTGGAGACTTCGTTTCATGATGCGGTTTAGGTTTTGGATTTTCGGTGGGGCCTCAAATTAAACGTCGCGAGTATTAGCGTAAAGGGCCTCAAGTTGGGCCTGAAGGGTGTTGTGGTGAAGACAGGAGCGTCGTTCTGGAATGTTTTGGGCCTAGTCTTGTCTGGTCTCGGAATCTTGCAGTGGAGTAGGTCAGGGCAAACTTGGGATGAACCACATGTCCTCTGTCAGCGGTTCTTCCGTATGGCCAACAATCCCAACAAGCAGTGTTGTCCTACTATCACCATTGTTGTGTTCCGCAGCAGGAGCTGCCGGACACTCCTGCCGAAAGGGCCGAAACATCGGTGGCTATGGCGTCCTGGAAAGATGCAGTGGTGGACCTCGAGAATGATTCCCTTGCTCCAGCTGCACCTGTGGCGGAAACAAGCACGGGGAGCAAAGTGCGACTTACGGCAAAGCAAGCTTGGAAGCTAGTCTGCGCCAAGTGCGGTGTACGGGCCACCAAGGACTGCATTGATCATTGTCCCTGACTGAGTGCCTTGTTTGCTCATGCTGCCGGTTAAGGAACATCTGAGCAGGTAAGTAAGTTCCGTGATTGCAACCGAACTGGAACATCCACCAGACAGGACACGCCGTGGGGAGCATACAATGCCGCAGGCGACCCCTTCGAAGATGGCTGCCAGAGATGCACACGCATCTGCCGGCAGATCTTGTGCATGCAATGGAATGTTGCCATGGAACGGTTGGAGAACCCGAGCGATCCATTGCACTCTTTATGGGCTGACATCGAGGCCAACCTTGATGCTGTCGAAGACGAGAAGCCGATGCCAACGCCAGTCAAAGTTCCGAGTGACGTCAGCAACGTTACCTCGTTTCTGGAAGAGTTCTGGCACGAGGTAGCATTTGTGACGGAGGCCGAGTTCACAAAGTACGTCGGCTGCTCACCGGCAACTTTGAGGATTGCGCTAGAAGAACGTGTGGTGACGAGTGGCCTTGTCATGAAAGGCGTTTACGTCCAACTCCGAGACCTCCCAAAGACAATGGGCCTGGGTGACATCCTGGCCTTGAGGAAAGTGAAGCTGTCGTACATTCGGGACTTGTCACAGTCGGAGTACCTCCTCAAGGCTGACAGCCAGCTGCACCCGAACCAGGCAAAGGCTGTTCGAGCCTCTGCCTTGTGCCTTGCATTGTATTCAGCCACTATGTAGTTAGTTTCTGGACTCCCCCAAAGAGCCTTCCGAAATTATGCCCGATTATGCTGCTATGCAGAGTTGTGACATGCGCAGTGCAAAGTAACAAAGTATAGGCCCAGTGTAGGCTACATCGTCTATGTCGGCTATGTAACTGTAACTATCAGACTATCAGTGCAGTAGAGTCAGTAGAGTATTCAATAGAGTCTAGACATTAGAAAAATGAGCACTGTGCTGTGAATCCTTTGACATCTGTGAAGGCAGGCTTTGCTGAAGCAGCGGAGCCAATCCTTGTCCCCAGCGCAAATCGATGCCTTGCCAACCTTGAACAGTCTTCGTGAGAAGGCTTTGCAAATCGAAGAGGGCAGAGTGAAGCAAGAGACTGGGGTCGCAGAGCAAAACGGTCTGAACCTTGGTTCGCTGAGCGACCTTCCGCTTGCAGGGACAGCGCCTGCGAGCAAAAGGCGCAAAGCCGAGAAATCAAACAAGGGTGGTGGCAGTGGCAAGCCTGCCAGGGATGCACCACTTCGGGAAAGCAGCCCGGCCTCGAAACGATCCAGAACCTCCGGTGCCCGCTTCGATGGCTCAGACAAGGGTGGGGGCAACCTCACGGACGCTGAGATTCGCAAGGCACTGCCCAATGACGGCCAACTTCAGAAAGTGGCCGAGTCCTTAGGCAAAGTGCCTGAGTGCTTCCATCATCTCGACCCGAACAGGATGCTGGCGGGAGAGAAGTTGGGGAGGTCTTTGCGCGCTGCCGTTTGATTGCATCAGTTTTTTGGAACTTGGTGTGTGGAGTGTTGAAGGTAACCTCGTCTAGAGTCCAGAGTGCTGCTCTAGCCTGACACGGTATGTGTGGCCCATGGAACTTATTTGGTTGGGGCGGTTAGGGCCTCGGGCACCATCACTGCGCCTGCTCTATCGACTCTATAGGCGAGAGGGTGTCGGGATTGTGAAAGGTCAGTGTGTGTGTGTGTGTGTGTGAGGGAGTGTCTGTGTGTGTACTGGTTTAAGGCAGGTTTTGTGTCTTGCTGGTGCCGTGGCATGATTTCCTGTTCGCCCATGGCCGACATGCTTGCAAATCAAAGGCACGCGACCTGCTGGACGTCCTCGCTGAACAGAAGTCGAAGCAGACCTGCCTCCTGAAGAAGAGGGTTGCTGTCTGTGATGCTGCTGTCCTGCTGCACTCGAACGCACGCAGCCTGGACAAGGTGGAGTCCAGCAAGTTGGCTGACTGTCTCGCATTGCTGGAAGAGGAGCGCATCCAGCTGCCATTCACAATGGAGGCGAGCATCACAGAGCTGCGATGCATCTCAGCCATGGAGCGTGTGGGAAAGGAGTGGACAGCGACCAGTGAGGAGGCCATCGCAGAGTTCCTGCAGATTTGGTCGCCTTCTCTGACTCTTGCGGACAAAGACGACAAGGATGAGTTCAAGATTACGAAGCCCACCTTCAGTGCTTTGATCCAGAGGGCAACTCAGCTTACTGAGTTTTCTTGTTTTAATATGTCACTGATGTCGCAATGCAAGTGTTCGTGCTGGTTGCTGCTGGTTACCGGTTACCGCTTAGGCTTAGTCATAGTCATACTCCCCGTCTTAGTCGCTAGTCTTGTTTTGAAAAACAACTGCAGGTGAAATTGACTCCGGTTGAAGAGCTGGAGTTGGAGGACTCCCAGGGGGAGCCAGTGCAGGAGGAGGAGATCTGTTTCCAGGACGGGCGTTCCAACGTTTGCTGTGCAATTTGCGTTCTTTGTCCCTGCAAAAATTCCCAGGCCCAGGATCTTGGGCCGGACCGACCTAACAGTTCGCCCCAAACTCTGAGTAAACCACATTGTTTCTCTGTGTGGAAATGTGTGCATGATTATACAGTGCCCGATCTATTGTAACTATAGTTACTATAGTAGTAGCTTGCTCGAGGCTACCCGTGTCGAACACAAGCACGTGTGTAGCGCATTGCTGTAGACAATTTAGACTAAGTCTAAGTCACTGTGTACTAGTTACTAGTTTACTAGTATCGTAACTAAGTGAAACTAGTGACTAGTGAGCTTGTTTTGTTTTGCTGGGGCTTCGATTGCAGGCTGTGGCCAAGTCAATGCTGGATTCTGTGGCCAATGATTTCTTCGCCGGCCACATGGACTCTGCAGCCAAGACACCCCCAAGTCGGCGTGTGCTCATGGAGATAGCACAGTGCTTGGCCAATGCCCTAACCACCCCGCTCGGAGATGAGGAGCTGCCAGAGGCCATCCGCCAAGCTCTGGGCATCGTTGCGACAGTGGCGAAGGCCATCCTGGCACTGGTTGTGCCCATCCCGGAGTACATGGGGTCGAGTGCCAAAGACGTCATCGCAATCACCAACGCGAAGGCTGGCAAAGGGTTCGACCCGCAGAATGCTCTCTATGTGCTCATGCGCGAGAGGCTGACTGACAATGGCTTCTGGAAGTCCCTTGCCACAGAGGTCAACCTGAAATCGGGCACAAACAAGGAGCTGGCTCCCGTCTTGAAGAAGCATTGCGAGTCCTTGAAAGCTGTGAAGAATGGCGACTTCAATGACATGCTTGCTGCAGTTCTGGAGTGTCTGAAGGATATGCCTCGCCTTGAATCGAACTTGCGGAACAACGCAACTCAGCAATTGAGGACTCAGCTGAGGCTTCTTGTGCAGAAGCTGGGGAAGACAACCCTGGCCACTGACATCGCAACGCTGCCGATCTCTGAGCTGCAGCTCTTGGTGCAGTCCCTTGCCTGTGTGCTGGACGACCAAGGCATACGTGAGATGCACTGCAAGCTTGAAGCATGGATGCAGGCTTCCGAAGGGCAGTTTGCAGAGGCTGAGTGTGAGAGGTGGCTGGCTGAAGCACTCGAGGAAGCTGCAGTCATGAGCTTCGAAAAGTTGGCCTACCATGTGAACAAGTACAAGCAAGGCTTTCCGGACAAAGTCCTTGAGGATGTCTTGAAACTGATACCGAGAATGCTGGAAACCTTCATTGCGCAGGCGAGCTTGACACACATGTGACGTATGCCTTGGATATCTTCTCGTGTGTGTGTGTGTGTCCAAAGAGGAATGTATTGTGTGTCCTATGTTTGTCATATGTCAGTGTGTTCCTGCTAGCCACTCATCCTGGGTCTGAGAGAATTCCAGCCTCAGGGTATAGCGGCTACCCGCATAGCAGTACTCAGCTCAGTAGTCCATGCCATAGCCGCTATCACAAAAGCCGTTCTAGTATAGTATCCTGTAAATAGCCCTTTGCTTCGGCTGAGCAGCGAAAGGGAATCAGTGTCGTGAGTGTAAGTGTTAGTTAAAGTGCAAGACCCTAAGGTTCTAAGATCATAAGAGGTGCCAGGCTTAAACTCCGTAGATTGTGCAATATTTACCGTGCAGTATGCTGTGATTTTGACTTGCAAGTGCAGTTGTGTGTTGTGCGGCAGCTGCGTTTTTGAGTTGAGTGAACTTTAACAAGCAGAGTTAAAGAGAACAAATGTGTGGTGCGTGTGCTGTGCTGTTTTCTTTGTTTTCTTTTCTCTTTGTTTGCTTTGTTTTGTTTCGTTTTGTTTTGGATTTGTCTTGTTGTGTTGTGTTGTTTATATATATATATATATATTTTTTTCTGTGTTTTGTTTTTTTTTTGGTTTTGTTTTCTGTTTGTGTGTTTGTTTGTTTTGTTTGTTTTGCTTGCATTGTTTGTGTTGGTTGTTTTGTTTGTTTTGTTTGTTTTGTTTGTTTTGTTTTGTCTGTTTTGTTTGTGTTGTTTTGTGTTGTTTTGTTTTGTTTGTTTGGTTTGTTCGGTTTGTTTGGTTTGTTTGTTTTGCTTTTGTTCAGTTTTGTTATGTTTGTTGTATTTTGTTGGAAGGTGCTCGACCTCGCTTTCGAGCTGCCAGTCTTGGAGCAGAATTTGTCTGCCATGACACAGTATTCCAATGTTCTCGGTGTCATGAAGCACGCAGAGGCGAAGTGGATGAAGACTGTGGTTGCGTGGTTCGCCAGTGCTGTGGATGTCCTGAAGACCATGGATCGGTACAGCAGCCTGGGTGGCAATGCGGAGGAGTGTGCGCTTCGGGACACAAACCGGGTGACCTTCGACAGTGCGATCCGAGCAACCCTGCACTTCGTCAAGCAGACTAAGGATGCTTTGGAGCTGCCAAAGGACGGCCCTCACATCCTCGAGGACAAGCACATTGAGGACGTGAAGGCTCGCATGTTTGCCATTCCGGCCTTGAAATTCGCAGCCGATGAGCATTGCAAGAAATTGCGCGGAGAACTCGTGACAGTTGTGGCCAAGCTCGAAGACTGTGGCGAGTCCTACGAGATGTGCCACAAGGGTTCGTGCTGGAAGAAGGACTTGCCTGCCGATGCATCTTTGCCACAAGTGATGGACGCTGCTGCCCGTACCCTGGCAACACTGGACCCCAAGCTTTTGGGTCAGTGCATGGCTGCGGTGGAGAAGGTGCGGTGTTGTTGTGCAGGTCAGCAGTGTGGTGTCAGTGCAAGTGTAGGTGTGTGTGTTAGGCCCTGTTAGGCCCTGTTAGGCCCTGTTAGGCTAAGGCCAAGGCTTATAAGGGTGTGCAAGGTGTGAGGCTGCCCGCGGCCAAGTCAGAAGCGTATGTCAGTGTCAGTGTCACTGGCAGTGTAAGTGTCTGCAATGTAAGTGTAAGTCAGAGCAACAAATGTACACATCATCACCTCGTGTTGGGTAGTCCAGGTCGTTTTTGATGACAATGACAATGAGAACGAACTGAAAAGCAGAATGGAATAGCCGAGTGAGCAGAACGAGTAGAGAATGAACAGAGTCAGGGCTCAGAACACACAAGGTTAGTGAGCGACTAGCAGCTATTCACTGCTGATGCTAACGAGCTATTCAGCTATTAGTAAAATTAGGATGAGGCAGACGCAGAAAGTGATGTAACTAAGCCAGTCTCCGATAGCCTCTCTGTGTGTGTAAGATCGAAGGTAAGGCCCTTGAAGCAATCTGAAATGACAACTTGGCAAGAAGTAACCCGAGGTAACCTCCACACTCACTCGTGCTCTGTCTGCAGGGCAAGGGCTCCCTGGACTTCTTCCTGAAGAAGTATGCGAAGGCATTCTCGCTCATCGAAGTTGCTGGGCTGGCCAATCTCAAGGCGACGGGTGAGCGTCTTGATAGTGCGCTTCGCTTTACAGGTGCATTGTACCTGGAGGGCCTGCTTCTCGTAGCGTCGAGTCACGAGGATGAGCAGATCGCAGTTCAGATTGCAGAGGAGCAGATTCGCAAGTTGGCAAACGAGGAGGTTGACAGAAGCTTAGTGCACCCCACTTTGATCAAAAAGGCCGAAACATTGGTCAAGTAGCCACAGATAGACCGCTGCTGCTGGACACAGCGTCCGAAGTTTTTTCTTGAAGCTGTAAGTCGAACGTGGTCGGTTTGCGCAGCTGATCCTTTCTGTGTGGTTGCAACGCACACCAAAATTTGATTGTGTTAGGTCAGGTCTGTTAGGTCCTTAGGTGCCTTAGGTTGCTTCGCACGACTTAGGGCGGGTCCCAGCGGCCCAGTGTCTGTGATGTATTTCCTTACCGAAGACTTTCCAGGTAAGAGGTTTCAGGTCTGAACATCAAGATGGGTTGTGTTCCATCAGGGGCTTCCAAGGAAGCAAGTGTTTCATTGTGCGCAACCAAAAGCAGGGTGAAGCTGTGCGTAGGAGACTGGCTTGATCGCAGGCGATGGGCTGTGTCACATGCTTGTGACATGGTGCAGACCGACTTTGTGCTGCGCTGCAAGGTCCAGTAATTTATTCAACAAATCATGTAATCACCACAAGAAAGCCTAGCCGCCTATAGAGTCACTGGTTCTAGTCGTTTCTGTCCAGCCCCTGACGGTATGCCCGGCAGGCCCTAAAAAATACCCAAACGCCTATCTATCTCATTCTATGATGTCATGCTCATAGTCATACTTTTCAACTTGCTAAGCTTAGCCGTAGCCGTAGCCTTCTCCCTCGCCCTCCCCAACCTCGCAATTTGATACACTATGGCCTCGTTAGGCTGGGGTTCATTTCGCCAACCAGTTCTAGCTCTTGGCACTGGATGTGGGCCCTCTGTGAGCAGCGCATTGTGGCTTTGCGAATCGTTTGAGGCATCCTCACTTCGTGATCGCTTCCAACCCTGTGGATTGCAAAATATGCTAGCAAGCGAAACCGGGCAAGGGGCTGTGCTCAGACTTGAAATGCTTTCGTGGATAGAGCCGGGCAGAGTAGAGTTTCCACATCAGGTCAGTAGGGCCTAAAATGCAGGCTTTTTGTGGTGAAGAAACCTGCCTTGGCCTGAATGCTTTGAGTGGGCATAGGAACATCGGTGCCTATTGCTGTTCCGCAGTTTTAGCTATTCTAAATGTGGAGACTGTGCTTGGAGGTTCATGGGCAGTCATAAATAGGTTATAGGACCCTAAGCCCTAAACGGTTCGACGCTGTTAGACGTATAAGTGCAATACTTATAACCTTGCAATTTTACTTGTAACTACCCATGAACGCTGCACAGAGTAGAGTCTAGCGGCTGGTGGCTAGAGTCCGGCGCTGAGAGTCTTGTCAGGTTCAGGCTTCCAGGAGTCCTCTTTAAACATTTGTGGTTTAGGGTTTTAGGGTTCAGGTTAAGGGTCTAGTGTTTAGGGTTTAGGGCCTGAGGGTTCAGGGTTTAATGTAGGGTTTAGAGCCTGGGGAGTCTAGGGTGACCGAGTTGTCATGACGTGTAGTAAGTAGGATGTCAGTCCGAAACCACACCCTGACATAAGATAGATTCAGCGAAATGTTGTGTGCTTGCGCACGCTTCTCTGTGGCTGGCCCAAATGCTGCTGGCCTTCTCATGTGCCAACTCTCCGGTTGCACTTATAGTTGGTGTGTGTTGCGAGTTTGACTTTATGTTTGGGTCATTATGCTGTAACATTGCGCTCTCCTCATTATGTCAGCTGCCATGGCAGCCATGGCACTCACAATTTTGACAACTGCCACAAAGGCAATTTCTGGAGCAGCTGGACTGGACACCTGTGCTGGTTCAGACGACAGCGTCGATTGGGTCAGTCGGGCAGTGGATGGAGTTTCATTGCTTGTGGTGGCTGCGGCTGTTCTTCTGCTGCTACGCATCGTGGTGTGGTTGGGTCTCGGGCTTCGATTTTCTTGCAAAGGCCTTGCTGCTGATGCGAATCCTCCATGCATCCATGCTTCGAGTCGCGTTGATGCAGTCATGCCTACCAATGCTGGCGATATGCGCAGCAGGGCAGCTGTGATGGTCACACAAAAAGGAAGTTTTTACCACATCGACACCGACTGTTATCATGTGCGTGGGCGGATCTACAAGACTTACTTGCCATGCAAACATTGCACCTCGGCATTTTTGACCGGCAGTGGGCAGTAGAAAGGTTTCAAGTTATGAGCTGCAGCACTGCAGCATTTGCAAGCAACAAGCAGCCTAGAGCCGAAGGCAGAGTGGCTTGTGCGCATGTTGTGTGTGCAAAAGATCGGAGATGCGCTGCTGCTACGATTTTCTTCCAAGATCTCCAGTGTCTTGTGGAATCACGTTCAACTTGAAAGGCCGAAAAAGCCCAAACCTCAATGGCCTAGAGCCCCAGGGCCTCAGGCAGCCGAAAGCTTACGAATTTAGACCCTCAAAGCCCTTTGACGTTTCGACTTGGTGGGGTTTGGATTGGCGTAGGCGTGGCCTGTGGCCTGATTTTCGTCACTTGTATGTGTGCTTGTAGTGAGTGAATTGCTAGGTCTAAGTTTGTGGTGTTTTGTGCGGAATGTTTTCCATGACGATAATGAGGGTGTAGGTCTGCTTGTCCCATTGCTGGGCAGCTTTCTGAGACTTTGTGCTTTAGCGTCCCCAGCGACATTTTGTGTTTTGGTTATGTAACCTCTCGGCTGTGTTTGACTCGGGCTAGGGCTAGGACAAGGGCCCTGGGCGACTTCATGTTCAGATTTGTTTTGTAAACAAATTAAAGAATGAATATTGGACCTAGTGACCTAGTGGCTACGACAAACTAGCAGCAACTAGCA